TCTTTTTAATGCTGTCTGTGCAATAATGAGTTCTCGTGGTGAATAAATACTGTCCTGCTGGGTTTTGGGCTTGCACTGGGCCTGTGTCTCAACTGTGTCATTTTTTCCAAAAAATTTCTTCCCATTGGACTGAGCAAGCTTACCCAATGCCTGTACTGTGATATAGCTGGCCTAGAGTTAGAACCTGTACAATGCCATTTTATAAATTGACAAAGCTGTTTCCATTCTCCTCACAATGACTGCTAACCTTGGCTTCTGTAAACTGCTAGATTATTTGCAGGATGCAAATTGAGGTAAAGCTGCATACCTTCTCTTATCTGTAACTGCCAGAATTGCTGGCCTTTGTTTACCAGAGTAAGCACCCCCAGATAATTCCATCCTGGCGCCAAGTAATTAAAAATCTATGGATCCCACCCCTACCCAGACGATGTGTAAACGAATGTTATTCTCAGCATCTGTGAACCCCTTAAGTAACAATCAGAATGTCAAATAGTCCCCTGGCCCTGAAAATGTCTGGAACCCCCTCACCCTAATCTCCGCCCAGAAGGTGATTTGAATCCACTGGCCCTCGGAATGTCTGAAGTCCCTCACCCCATCCTCTCCCCTCACCCCCAAGGTTATTTTATGGGTATAAAAGATCTTGTCACCCTCTTTTACGGGGCCACGGGTTGGAGAGACATGAGTCCTCCATGGTCGCCGGCAATAAACCCTGAAATTTGGCATACTTTTGTCTTGGTGTTGACTTTCTATGCTCAGTCCGATATAACAGTACCATCATTGTATCTTGAAAAGAAAGAGCTCCCGTTTTTTTTTTTTTTTTTTTTTTTTTTTTTGAGATGGAGTTTCGCTCTTGTTACCCAGGCTGTAGTGCAATGGCGCGATCTCGGCTCACCGCAACCTCCGCCTCCTGGGTTCAGGTAATTCTCATGCCTCAGCCTCCTGAGTAGCTGGGATTACAGGCATGAGCCACCACGCACAGCTAATTTTTTTTGTATTTTTAGTAGAGATGGGGTTTCATCATGTTGACCAGGATGGTCCTGATCTCTTGACCTCACGATCCAACCACCTCGCCTCCCAAAGTGCTGGATTACAGGCTTGAGCCACCGCGCCCGGCCAGAAAGAACTTCCAGGGACTTATAGGCAGAAGGGACTGTAGCATTGTCTTGGATGAGACTGTAAACTTTTTACATTTGAGTTACTGCTGGAATGAGTTCAGAATTTTGGAAACTTAGCCAGGCACAGTGGCTCACTCCTGTAATCCCAGCACTTTCGGAGGCTGGGAGGTTGGTGGGATGGAAGGAAAAAGGGGTAGATAGGGTGGAAGGGAGCAGGTGGCAGTAGGGTGGTGAGAGGGTGGCGGGTAGTAGAAAGGGGCAGTAGTAGCCGGCTGCAAAGGCAAAGGCTCATGGAAAACCTCCACTTCAGCCATGCCCTGTGGCTTCTCACGGTTTAGCCCCCATGGCTGTTCTCATGGGCTGGGCAGGTGTTGAGGGCCTGCAGCTTTTCCACACTGAGGGTTCAAACTGTTGGTGGGTTTATGCATCTGAGGACTGGAGGTTGGTGGCCCCCTGTGTGGAGGCTCCAAGCCCATATTTTCCTTCTTTACTGCCCTCATAGAGGTTTTCCAACATGCTCTCCTTCTACAGGAGGCTTCTGTCTGGCAACAGTGGGGTTGGGGGTGTGGTGGAGGGTGGTGGTGTGGTATTTGCCAGGAGAGGGCCTGGCACTGTGGCTCATGCCCGTAATCCCAGCACTTTGGGAAGCTGAGATGGGAGGATTGCTTGAGGCCAGGAGTTCGAGACCAGCCTGGCCAACATAGCAAGACCTTGTCTCTAAAAAAGCAAAAAAAGAATTATCAATATGACAAAGTAATTCCTCTCCTAGATATATACCAAAAATAATTAAAAACAAAAACAGGTATTCAAACAAAACTTAGTATATGAAAGTACATAGCAGTAATGTTTATAATAGCCCAGATGTGGAACCAACCCAAATGTCCATGCCAGATGAATGGTCATGCTGTGCATCCACATGACAGAATGTTATTCAGCCTTAAAAAGGAATGAAGGCTTGGCAAGGTGGCTCACACCTGTAATCCCAGCACTTTGGGAGGTCAAGGCAGTCGGATCACCTGAGCTCGAGAGTTCAAGACCAGCCTGACCAACATGGAGAAAACCCCGTCTCTACTAAAAATACAAAATTAGCCGAGTGTGGTGGCACATGCCTGTAATCTCAGCTACTTGGGAGGCTGAGGCAGGAGAATTGCATGAACCTGGGAGGCGGAAATTTCAGTGATCTGAGATCACACCATTGCACTCCAGCCTGGGCAACAAGAGCAAAACTCTGTCTCAAAAAAAAAAGGGATTGAAACACTGACAGGCCTTGAATGAGCCTTGGAAACATTAAGTGAAAGAAGCCAGTCACAAAGGCTACATACTGTAGGATTCAATTTCTTTTTTTTTTGAGACAGAGTCTCTCTCTGTCCCCAGGCTGGAGTACAGTGCCGCAATCTCAGCTCATTGCAACCTCTTGCCTCCCAAGTTCAAGCGATTCTCCTGCCTCACCCTCCTAAGTAGCTGGGACTACAGGCATGAGCCACCACACCCAACTAACTTTTGTATTTTTAGTAGAGACAGGGTTTCACCATGTTGGCCAAGATAGTCTTTATCTCTTGACCCCATGATCAGCCCACCTTGGCCTCCCAAAGTGCTAGGATTACAGGTGTGAGCCACTGCACCCAGCCATATTGTAGGATTCTATTTATGTGAAATCTCCAGAATAGATAAATGTACCGGGAGCAGTGGCTCACACCTGTAATCCCAGAACGTTGGGAAGCTGACGTGGGTGGATTACCTGAGGTCAGGAGTTCAAGACCAGCCGGGCCAACATGGTGAAACCCCGTCTCTACTAAAAACACAAAAACTAGCCAGGCGTGGTGATGCACACCTGTAGTCCCAGCTACTCAGGGGGCTGAGGCAGGAGAATCATTGAACCTGGGAGGCGGAGGTTGCAGTTAGCTGAGGTGGCGCCACTGCACTTCAGCCTGGGCGACAGAGCGAGGAGACTCCATCTCTTAACAAACAAACAAATTAGCCGGGGTTGGTGGTATGTGCCTGTAGTCCCAGCTACTCAGGCAGCTGAGGGAGGAGAATTGTTTGAGCCTGGGAGGTGGAGGTTGCAGTGAGTTGAGATTCTACCATTGCCCTCCAGCCTGTTGACAGAGCAAGACTGCAACTCAAAAAAAAAAAAAACAAACAAAAAACTGTATTCCCCTTCCATGGAGCTTATCTAGAAAAAACCACCTGTTTTTTTCAGGCTCACACGCAACACTTTTGTGAGCAGGTGTGTGGAGTTTTCCCATGCTGACAAATTCTCCTGCCCAAGCTGGGTGTCCCATAATTCAGTCCAATTTTGACACTATCTACCTGGAGATAGCATTGGATCCCACAGGTGAGGAGTCTATAGAAGCTAGGAAAAACAAAATGAAACATTACCAGTATTTTTGGCCCATTTCATTCTCTTTCGAGCCCCCTTCACTTTACCCTCAAAATGAGAATGTGGGCTTTCAGGTGAGCAGTTCTAATGCCCCAATTCCTTTCCAGCCTGTCGTAGGACACTCTGGAGCCCAAAAATGGCTCAGAAACTCTGGGTCCTGAAGTAGGTAAGGAACTGGAGGGCAGATCAAGGGAGCAGGAAAATAAAAATTTGCAAAAGCGAAGGGAGTAGCATTATTATAGAAGCCTCCTAAATATGGAACTACAAGTCGCAACCCTTCTAAGGCACTTAAGTTCCCGGGAAATACGAAATAAAACCAGAAAGCCCTAGATACGTATCCATATCTTTAGTTTCCCAAATTCCCTTGGTCAATAGCAGATCCTGCTTCTGCATCGACAGTGGGTGACATTAACGCGCGAATGGACTACAAATCCCGTAATGCATGGGGGCGGTGCCATGTTTAACATCTTTTAGAGACACGTGCTAGGAACTACAACTCCCAGAAGGGCACGCGCAGTACTCGGGTCCTCACTGTGCCGGCGGTTTTTTTGTTTTTACTTTTTATTTTTGTTTTAAAATTTTTTTTTTAAGAGACGGGGTTGGCCGGGCGCGGTGGCTCACGCCTGTAATCCTAGCACTTTGGGAGGCCGAGGTGGGTGGATCACCTGAGGTCAGGAGTTAGAGACCAGCCTGGCCATCATGGTGAAACCCCATCTTAAAAAAAAAAAAAAAAAGAAAGAAAGAAACGGGGTTTCACCATGTTGGCCAGGCTGATCTCGAACTCCTGACCTCAAGTGATCCACCCGCTTCGGCCTCCCAAAGTGCTGGGATTACAGGCGTGAGCCACCGCGCCCGGCCTACTTTTTAATTTTTTTATTTTGAGATAGAGTCTCGGTCTGTCTCCCATGCTGGAGTGCAATGGCGCGATCTCGGCTCGCTGCAACCTCCGCCTCCCGGGCTCAAGCAATTCTCCTGTCTCAGCCTCCCGGTAGCTGGGATTACAAGCGCGAGCCACCATGCCTGGCTAATTTTTGTATTTTCAGTAGAGACCGGGTTTCGCTATGTTGGCCAGGCTAGCCTCGAACTCCTAACCTCAAGTGATCCGCCCTCCTCCTCCTCCCAAGGTGCTGAGATTACAGGGGTGAGCCATCGCGCCCGGCCTATTTACTTTTCTTAATTTATATTTTTATTTTGGTACATAGCAGGTGTATTATATATATTCACCGGCTAAATTAGATTTTTTGATACAGGCAGGCAATGTGAAATAAACACATCATGGAGAATGGGGTATCCATCCCCTTTAAAGCATTTATCCTTTGATGTGTAAACAATCCAATTACGCCCTTTAATTTATTTTAAAATGTACAATTAAATTATTATTGACTATAGTCCTCTGATGTGCTATCTAACAGCAGGTTTTATTCATCCTTTTCTTTCTATACCCATTAACCACCCCACCTCTCCCCATGTACACACCCCCACCCCCAATCTTCTCTTTTTTCTAGTCCGAAGGACAGCACCCCTTACTTGCCGAATTCCGAAGGCCACCGGGAGCGAGTTCTCAGCCTTTCCCAAGCCCTGGCTACTGAGGCGACGCAGTGGCACAGAATGATGACGGGTGATGGCTGGGGGTGTTGCACTTCTGGGTTTTAGGGAGGAGAGAGCTGGAGACCTGGAGTCCCAGGTCCTGGAGAGGAGGGGTCTGGGGGCCGGTGGGAATTTTTTATCTTGGCGAGGAAAGAGTTGGGCAGGGTTTCGGAGTTTTAGGTCTCATTCAAGAGGGAACTGGGTTCTGGGACACTTGGGAGGAGATGAGGAAGCGGTCGGGGGCGGGGAGAGGGCCGACACCTGAGTCTCAAAGAAGACTGGACTGAGGTATCCAGACTCCTGGGTCTGAAGGAGGAGGGGCTGAGGCCTGGACTCCTGGGTCTGAGCGAGGAGGGGCCGGGGGCCTGGACTCCTGGGTCTGAGGGAGGAGGGGCCTGGGAATCCGGAGTCCCGGTGCCGAAGTTTGCCATTCTCATGTCCTACTCATCCTCTCCAGATGGAAATTTGGACTCCCAGGGAGACCCTCTCCTACGTGTGCCGCTGCCTCCGTCGGACCCCACGCGCCAGGAGACCCCTCCACCCAGATCTCCCCCGGTGGCTAATTCGGGTTCCACCTGGCTCTTTCGCCGAGGCAGTGGGCGTGGCGGAGGCCCCGCCCCCTGGGGGCTCACGTGGGATGCCGGGATCGCCCCTCCGGTCCTGCCCAAGACGAGGGGACGTGGCCCTCGCGCGTCACTCTTCTACAGTCCAGCTTTTAACCCTCCCAAACACGGCAGCCAATCGGAGCGTGAGGACGTGACCGGAGGTACCACCGGAGAGATGTGGGACCACTCAGGGCATCAGGGGGCGTGGTCTGGTCCCTGTCGCCGGCCCGGGACGGGAATGATTTCTATGGCCAAAGTTTGGTTTTCTCAACACTGTTTACATTTGGATTAAAACTATGAACTTGTAGTCAATAACTTTCTTTCTGTCTGTTCGGGGTTGTGGCGCTGGAGTCTCTGATGGGCAGAGCCGGAGTTGTGGACTCCTGGGTCCTGAGAGAGGAGGGGACAGGGGCCTTGAACTTACAGGGCCTTGGACTTTTAGGTCTCTGAGAGGAAGGGATGGAGAAGCTGATCCCTCAGTCTGAGGGAGAAGGGGCTGGGGGCCTGGACCCCCTGAATCTGAGGGAGGAGGGCCTGGAGCTCCTGGATTCCTGAGTCTGAGGGAGGAGGCCAGTGTCTGAGGGAGGAGGGACTGGGGACAAACCCAGGTCTCCAGCCTTCCTAGCAACGCCCCCCGGGGCCGGACTTCCAGGATCCAGCCCCTATTGATGGTTTGATGCAACGCTTTCACGGGGCTTTGGAGGTAGACAGAGGCGCAGAGTAGAGAGACGGACAGAGACCGACGGACACGGGATGGCCACGGGAACGCACTACGCCGGGAAGGTGGTGGTTGTGACCCGGGGCGCGCGCGGACTCGGAGCCGGGATCGTCCGCGCCTTCGGTGAGCGGGGTCTGGCCGCTGGGAGCTGGGGAGTGTGAGAGAAGAAGGATGGGCGCGGGGCAATGGCGGCGGGAAATGGAGACCCCAGTACTGCAGCTGGGATTCTGACCTTACAAAAGCCCATTTGCAGGCTAAAGTAAGCGCGTGCCGCGGTAGGCTGGGGCTGAATCTGGCGAGGTCTCGGAGGGGCAGTGGCCCCCTTTCTCTGGGTCTGTTAGTGAAGCTGCAATACCAGTGGCTTGGGGAATGGCTCTGGCAGTCGTGGGCTGGCTCTGGAACCCACGAACGGGGGCTCAGGAACCTCAGCAGAAACCTGGGCAGGCAGGGAGAGCATGTGTCAAGGGCTCTGCCCTCTTGCCCTCTGTCCTGCGGGTGATCATGAGACTGGGGTCACGAGGAGAGGGGAGAGGGAGAGCGACCCCACTCCAGGTGGCCACCAGAGGGCGGCAGAGGCTTGACCCAAGGCTCGGAGGGTCACCTGTTCCCTTCCTATTCTCAGTGGACAGCGGGGCCCAAGTGGTTATGTGCGACAAGGATGGTGAGTGATGGTCCCTGAGCCCTCACCCTGGCCCTCCTCCCTCAGCTCTTACCCCGCCCTCTTCCCTCAGACCCAGGGGTCCAGGCCCCAGCTCCTCATCCCTCAGATTCAGGGGTCCAGGCCCCAGCCCCTCCTTCCTCAGACCCAGGGGTCCAGACCCCCAGCCCCTCCTCCCTCAGACCCAGGGGTCCAGACCCCCAGCCCCTCCTCCCTCAGACCCAGGGATCCAGACCCCCAGCCCCTCTTCCCTCAGACCCAGGGGTCCAGGCTCCCATCTCTTCTCTCACTGCAGAGTCTGGGGGCCGGGCGCTGGAGCGGGAGCTCCCTGGAGCTGTCTTTATCCTCTGTGAGGGTGAGCAGACTTCCTGCTCCTGCTCCGCGTCTCCGCTAATTGCCAGTTCTTTGTTCTCCTCCAGGCATCCGCATTCCCTCTTCTTTTCCTTCCTCTCCTGGCTCCACTGGACCCATCAGAGGTTTCCACCTAGTGTCACTCACACATAGGTCTTCCGTGATTGGCAAGCAGGTCATGTGTTCCTCATCTCCCACCTCTCCAAGGCTCTTAGCACATCTGACATGTGAATGGAAATGAATAAAAGTCCCTCAAAGTGGGTCAACTGTAACGGATTTTTCTTTCTCTTTTGTTTTTTTGGAGATGTCGCCCAGGCTGGAGTGCAATGGTGCGATATCGATTCACTGCAACTTCCACCTCCCGGGTTCAAGCGATTCTCCTGTCTCTGCCTCCCGAGTAGCTGGGATTGCAGGCGCTTGCCACCATGCCAAGCTAATTTTTATATATTTAGTAGAGACAGGGTTTCACCATATTGGCCAGGCTGGTCTCGAACTCCTGACCTCAGGTTATCTGCTCACCTCCGCCTCCCAAAGGGCCCCCAGCCCCTCCTTCCTCAGACCCAAGATTCCAGGCTCCCAGCTCCTCCTGGGTTGGAATTCCAGGTGTGAGCCACCGCACCTGGCCTGTAACCAATTTTTCTCCCTTGTTTCTGTTTCTGGGTTCCTATTTCCTCCTTTTCATTTTTTTTTTTTTTTTTGAGAGGGAGTTTTGCTCTTTGTTGCCCAGGCTGGAGTGTAGGGGTGCCATCTCGGTTCACTGCAACTTCCACCTCCTGGGTTCAAGCCATTCTCCCAAGTAGCTGGGATTACAGGCACCAGCCGCCACAGCCAGCTAATTTTTGTATTTTTAGTAGCAACGGTGTTTCACCATGTTGGCCAGGTTGGTCTCGAACTCCTGACCTCAGGTGATCTGCCCGCCTCAGCCTCCCAAAGTGCTGGGCCACCACGCACGGCCCCTATTTCTTTCTTTCTCAATCAGTATCTCTCTGTTTCCTGCCCCACTTGGGTAACTGTCTCCTACACTCTATCTGAACCCTTGTCAACCCCCACCCCCTGACCTTGGAATGATGACTGCACTGTGGCTCTGACCAGCCCCCTATCTCCTTCCTGTCTGCTACTCGCCTGCCATGTCTGCTGATCTCGGTACTCCTTCTTCCTCTAGCTCTTGTCCCCTGAGCTGGGAGTCCAGCTTTCCCCTCCTGCCTTGCATTTGGCAACCCTGTCTGCCTTATGGCTGGACACCTCATCTATTGCTCATTCAAAGGACATTTCCTGGGTAAGGTGTGGTGCCTGTAATCCCAGCATTTTGGGAGGCTGAGGTGGGCAGATGACTTGAGGTCAGGAGTTCGAGACCAGCCTGGCCAACATGGTGAAAACCCGTCTACTAAAAAATATAAAAAATTAGCTGGCTGTGGTAATCCCAGATGTCGGGGTCTGGCACGTCTGCCCCCCGGACCGACCTTCGGGAGTCCCCGAGACCGCCAACGTAGATGTCTCGTTCAACCTGAGAGAGACGGTGCGCGGAAAAGAAAGAATACAGAAAAGTAGAGTCTGGAGGGCTGCGTGAAGATTATGGCCAAAACGCAGCAAATTTATTTTTGTGGGTTACAGCTTTTATACCTTTTTTCTTGTTTACATTTACCTTATCTCAGCAGAAAGAAAGAAAGGGGTAGACAGAAAGGAAACAGAAACTCCATAAAAAATAGTTATCAGGGGCTTGTGATATCCGCTCAGAAAGCAGTTTAAGGGGGCTAGTGGTAGTAGTTTACATTTCAAAGATTTTACATTTCAAAGATACAATGGCGCCCTTAAGGTGGCTGGTTAAACCTGTTTTTCACCAGGAGCTAAAACAAAGGCTTGGCTCCAGGGAAAATATGGGCAGAGGTCTCTGCCCCTCTTAGGCATCTCAATTGCAGCAAGTTTATTGCTTACACAGAGACTGAAGGGGGACATGGAAGCAGACAGCACAATGTCCTCATAAACTGCAGGCCTTTGCTTTGCCTTCTGTTGTTGCTTTTAGTGAGTCAGCTCACGGCCCTTTGTCTCACTTGACAGCCCTCGAGGTGGGGAAATGCAGACAGGTCCAGCAGCCAAACTGGGGCGAGTCAACTAGCTGTCTCGAGCCCTTGGCGCGAACACCACACCCAGCTACTCAGGAGGCTGATGCAGGAGAATCACTTGAACCTTGGAGGCAGAGGTTGCAGTGAGCCAAGATCGCACCACTGCACTCCAGCCTGAGCAACGAGGAAAAAAAAACAGAAAACAAGAAAATGAAAAAATCAAAGAACATTTCCTTTCTCCTCAGACTCTGGTTTCTGAGACCATCTGCCGATTTGGCCGCCTGGATTGTGTTGTCAACAATGCTGGCCACCGTGAGTTGTGAGACCCCAGGGCCATTCCCCACCTCCTGGCCCCCAGCTCTGTTTCTTATACCTCAGTTGCCCCTCTCCTGCCCCTGATTCCTGCCTCATCCCTCTTTCCTTCTTTCCCTCTTTCTTTGTTTTTGTTTTTCTTTTGGTTTGTTTTTTTTTTGAGATGGAGACTTGCTCTGTCGCCGGCTGGAGTGCAGTGGCACAATCTCAGCTCACTGCAACCTCTGCCTCCTGGGTTCAAGAGATTTTTCCGCCTCAGCCTCCCGAGTAGCTGGGACCACAGGCACGTACCACCATGCCAGGCTATTTTTTGTATTTTTGGTAGAGACAGGGTTTCACCATGTTGGCCAGGATGGTCTCGATCTCTTTACCTCGTGATCCGTCTGCCTTGGCCTCCCAAAGTGCTGGGATTACAGGCGTGAGCCACCGCGCCTGCCCCGGAATATAGATTCTTTTCATGCTGTTACTTTCAGCCTATTTGACTCAATGCTAAAATGAGTCTGTTATATGCAGCATATTGTATGCTTTTTTACTTAAACTACTTAGGCATCTTATTCCTTCTTCTTTTTATAAATGTATATATTTTTGAGATAAAGTCTCACTAAGTCAACCAAGCTGGTTTGCAGTGGCGTGATTACAGCTCACTGCAACTTCAACCTCCCAAACTCGGATGATCTCATTTCAGCTTCTCAAGTAGCTGGGCTGCAAATATGTGCCATCATGCCTAGCTCATTGTTTTTGTTTGGTTTGTTTTGCAGGGACAGAGTTTGGCCATGTTGTCCAGTCTGGTCTCAAATTATTGAGTTAAAGTGATCAGCCCCCATGGGCCTAACAAAGTCCAGGGATTGCTGGGCGCGGTGGCTCACGCCTGTAATCCCAGCACTTTGGGAGGCTGAGGCGGGTGGATCACGAGGTCAAGAGATCGAGACCATCCTGGTAAACATGGTGAAACCCCGTCTCTACTAAAAATACAAAAAAATTAGCTGGGCATGGTGGTGCGTGCCTGTAGTCCCAGCTACTGAGGAGGCTGAGGCAGGAGAATTGCCTGAACCCAGGAGGCGGAGGTTGCGGTGAGCCGAGATCACACCATTGCACTCCAGCCTGGGTAACAAGAGCGAAACTCCGTCTCACACACACACACACACACACACACACAAGTCCTTGGATTACATTTTTTTAATTAAGTAGTTTAATTAATTTATGTTTACTATGATTGCTTAGCCAGGCGCGGTGGCTCATGCCTATAATTCCAACACTTTAGGAGGCAGAGATGGGTGGATCACAAGGTCAAGAGATCGAGACCATCCTGGTCAACATGTTGAAACCCTGTCTCTAGTAAAAAAAAAAAAAAAAAAATACAAAAATTAGCTGGGTATGGTGGTACATGCCTGTAGTCCCAGCTACTGGGGAGGCTGAGGCAGGACAATTGCTTGAACCCAGGAGACGGAGATTGCGGTGAGCTGAGATCGCGCCATTGCACTCCAGCAACTGGCTAAAAAGAGCAAAACTCCGTCTCAGGAAAAAAAAAAAAGATTGCTTAAAGAAATAACGTTACTATTACCAGTTTCATTGTTATTGGGTTTACTTTTTTGTGTGTTCTGGGATAGGTGTGCAGAATTTACAAATTTGTTACATAGGTAAACATGTCCCATAGTGATTTACTGTACCTATCAACTCATCACTTAGGTATTTAGCCCTGTGTGCATTAGCTGTTTATCTTGATGCTCTCTGTTCCCCAGTATGACAGGTCCCGGTGTGTGTTGTTCCCTTTTATGTGTCCATGCGTTCTTATTGTTCAGCTCCCACGTATGAGTGAAAATATGTGGTGTTTCGATTTGTGTTTCTGCATTAGTTTGCTGAGGATAATGGCTTTCAGCTCCATCCATGCCTTCGCAAAGTACATGATCCTTATTCTTTTTTTTTCTTTGATATGGAGTTTCCAGGCTGGAGTGCAGTGGCACAATCTTGGCTCACTGCAACCTCTGCCGCTGGGGCTCAAGCGATTCTCCTGCCTCAGCCTCCTGAGCAGCTGGGACTATGGGCATGAGCCACCACGCCCAGCTAATTTTTATATTTTTAGTAGAGACAGGGTTTCACCATATTGACTAGGATAGTATTGATCTCTTGACCTCATGATCGTCCCGCCTCAGCCTCCGAAAGTGCTGGGATTACAGGCGTGAGCCACCACAACTGGCTGATTTTATTCTTTTTTATGGTTGCGTAGTGTTCTGTAGTGTATATGTACCACATTTTCTTTATCCAGTCTGCCATTGATGGACATGTGGATTGATTCCATGTCTTTGCTATTGTAAATAGTGCTGCAATGAACATACACATCCACGTATCTTTATAATAGAATAATTTATATTCCTTTGGGTATATACCCAGTAATGGGATTTCTGGGTCAGATGGTATTTCTGGTTCTAGGTCTTTTAGGAATACTGCCATACTGTCTTCCATAATGATTCAACTAATGTACATTCCCACCAACAGTGTAAAAGTATTTCTGTTTATCCACAGCCTCACCAGTATCTATTATTTCTTGACCTTTTAATAATCACTATTCTCAGTGGCATAAGATTGTATCCAGTACTGGTTTTGATTTGCATTTCTCTAGAGATCACTGATGTTGAGCTTTGTTTGTTGGCCACATAAATGTCTTTTTTTGAAAAGTATCTGTTCATTTTCATTGCCAGTTTTTAATGGGGTTGTTTGTTTTATTCTTGTAAATTTGCTTAAGTTCCCTTTAGATGTCGGATGAATAGGTTGCAAAACTGTTCTCCCATTCTGTAGGTTGTCTTTTTACTCCGTTGATAGCTTTTTGTTGTTGTTGTTGTTTTGCAGAAGGTTTTTAGTTTAATTAGATTCTATTTGTCAAGTTTTCCTTTTGTTGCAATTGATCTTGACGTTTTCATGATAAAATCTTTGTTCATGCCTATGTCCTGAATGATATTGCCTAGATTTTCTTCTAGGGTTCTTATAGTTTTGGGTTTCACATTTAAGTCTTTAATCCTTCTTGAGTTAATTTTTATACAAGTGTAAGGAAGGGTTCCCTTTTCAGTTTTCTGCATATGGCTAACCAGTTCTCTCATCACCATTCGTTAAATGGGGAGTTTGTTCCTCATTGCTTGTTTTTGTCGGGTTTTTCAAACATCAGATGGTTGTAGACAGGCAGTCTTGTTTCTGAGTTCTGCATTCTTTTTCACTGGTCTATGTGTATGTTTTTACTAGTACCAGACTGTTTTGGTTACTAGAATCTTGTAGTGTAGTTTGAAGTCAGAGAGTATGATGCCTCCAGCTTGTTCTTTTTGCTTAGGATTGCCTTGGCTACATGGAGTCTTTTGGGTTTCACATGAATTTTAAAATAGTCTTTTCTAATTCTGTGAAAGATGTCAGTAGCAGTTTAGTGGGATAAGCATTGAATAACTGTTGGCAGTATGGCCATTTTTACAATATTGATTCTTTCTATCCATGAGCATGGAATGTTTTTCCATTCTTTGTGTCCTCTGATTTTCTTGAGCAGTGGTTTGTGTTCTCCTTGAAGAGGTCCTTTATTTCCCTTGTGAGCTGTATTCCTAGGTATTTTATTCTCTTTGTAGCAATTGCGGGTGGAAGTTCATTCATGATGTGGCTCTCTGCTTGTTTATTGTTAATATATTGAAATGTTTGTAATTTTTGCACGTTGATTTTGTATCCTGAGACTTTGCTGAAGCTACTTATCAGCTGAAGAACCTTTTGGGCCAAGACAATTGGGCTTTCTAGATGTAAGATCATGTCATGTGCAAACAGAGAGAGTTTGACTTCCTATTTGAATCCCCCTTATTTCCTTCTCTTGCCTGATTTTCTTGGCCAGAACTTCCAATACTATGTTGACTAAGAGTGCTGAGAGAGGGCATTCTTGTCTTGTGCCAATTTTCAAGGGGAATGCTTCCAGCTTTTGCCCTTTCAGTATGATATTGGCTGTAAGTTTGTCATAAATGACTCAATATTTTCAGATATGTTCCATGAATACCTAGTTTATTTTTTATTTATATTTATTTTTTTTGAGACGGAGTTTCCCTCTTGTTACCCAGGCTGGAGTGCAATGGCGCCATCTTGGCTCACCTCAACCTCCGCCTCATGGGTTCAAGCAATGCTCCCGCCTCAGCCTCCCGAGTAGCTGGGACCACAGGCATGTGCCACCATGTCCAGCTAATTTTTGTATTTTTAGTAGAGATGGGGTTTCACCATGTTGACCAGGATGGTCTCGATCTCTTGACCTTGTGATCCACCCACCTCGGCCTCCCAAAGTGCTGGGATTATAGGCGTGAGCCACTGCGCCCAGCCCTAAATACCTAGTTTATTGAGCATTTTTATTTATTTATTTATTTTTAAGACAGGGTTTCACCATGTTGGTCAGGCTGGTCTTGAACTCCCAACCTCAGGTGATCTGCCTGCCTTGGCCTCCAAAGTGCTTGGATTACAGGCGTGAATCACCACGCCCAGCCTATTGAGCATTTTTAACATGAAGATGTGTTGAATTTGGTCAAAGACCTTTTCTGTATCTATGGATATAGTTGTGGTTTTTGTTTTTAGTTCTGTTTATGTGATGAATTGCATTTATTGATTTGTGTATGTTGAACTATCCTTGCATCCCAGGGATGAAGCTGACTTGATCGCAGTGGGTAAGCTTTTTGATGTGGTGCTGGATTTGGTTTGCCAGCATTTTATTGAGAATTTTTGTATCAGTGCTTATCAGGGATATTGGCTTGAAGTGTTGTTGTTGTTGTTGTATCTCTGTCAGACCTTGATATCAAAATGACGCTGGTCTTATAAAATGAGTTAGGGTGGAGTCCCTCTTTTTCTATCAGTTGGAATAGTTTCAGAAGAAATGGCACCACCTCCTCTTTGTGCCTCTGGTAGAATTCAGCTGTAAATCCATCTGCCCCTGGGCATTTTTAGTTTGTAGGCTATTTATTATTGCCTCAACTTCAGAACTTGTTATTGGTCTATTCAGGGAT